AACAGGAATGACTCTTCGGCTATCATGGCTCCAATATGATATCATATTTGTGCGTAACAAAGTATAACCAAAGCTCAATATGCCATTTATTCTCATATGCACTGCTGTCAAGTCTACAAAAAATGTAAACCTTTTATTTTATTTCTTGCAATGTGATTTTCATACTTATTTCTCAAAACACTTTACAGTGATGACATTGTAACCAATAAACTCTGCCATGCACTAAACGTTCATATAATCTCTGCTTTATATGCTTTTAATGTTTATTGGATGGATTGTGTTTCACGTGTAACTGGTTTCGTTAAAGTCTGAGGATAATCCCTGATGTCAGATAATTTCCATTAGTCACTTTTCTCCATAATAATTCCACATCCATCTGTAATAGCACAAGATCTTCAGTTTGAATACTGTTTGGATGAATGCAGATAGTAGTTAAGTCATTAGTGTAGCAGTGCCGACTCCAACTAAGGGCCGACACTGATGAACAAAGATATAATCACGGATGAAAGTGTCACTAGAGATCAAATAGAAACGATCAGTATCAAGCCAATTTATACATAAGTGACAATATTAACATTCAAGGTCCAAAGTACATGCAACATTTTTTATTTTAGCATGCTGAAAGTGGCTGCATTTATTGAATTTGTAGCTATTTCACTTTAAATCTATAAAAAGACTGATTTTTTAATAACCCATAACAAAAACATATAAAGATAAAAAACAAAAACAAAAACCCCCAAAAGAAAACAAGAAATTCAGGGGAGAATACCCATGATAGTCGGGTTGATTTGAATGCCAAGAAGGCCAAAGGATTTCCAGACTCTGAGGCCCCCCTCTATTTGGCAGTGATACAATTCCGATTACACAACCCTTCCCAATGGCACAGTCACTCTGACTGGAAAAACAGGTGATTCACTATAATGGTGTCAGTTAGCTGGTGTGACGATGGCCTCAGTCTCACCCACCAGGAGGCATGACCTACTACTTGCCGGTAAAATGTCTTGTTGTGGAAGGAATTCAGCGATAGCTTGAAACAGTCAGGGTGGGATGTGGCCGAGAACCATTCACTTCACAGGGGGAGTAAGACCAATTCTCATATAAAAAAATAAATATTTCATCTGTTTGTTGACAAACCAAAAAAAATAGTCACATTGCCTACTCTGCTCATCAGTAGCATTTTACTTTCTGAAATCACAGACAGTCCTGGAAACAACAACAATAAACTAAGGGTATTTAAATAAAAGTACATATAGCATTGCTACAAATATCACAAGATCAAGCAGGCAGGTTTCTGCTATGCCGACTGTGAAATCACTTCTTCCTCAGCACAGCGCTCCTTGTTTAAGAAATACTTGCCATTGCTGTTGAATGATGCCGCTCTGACTCACTAATTCCACAACATCTGGTCATAGTCAGTTGTAACCACTGCTTTACAGTCACCATAGTGACATACCATATCATCATGGTTAGACAACCTCAGCTGCAAGGTATCAGATCAACTGATACTGATACTGTACAAAAATATATCTGTAATTTAAACATTTATATTTATATAGTATAAGTTAGTTCATTCATTCATTAGTATATTGTTTCAAAAGAGTGCAATAACAATGTAAATCAAAATTATATACTGCAAGGAAAAAGACAAAGCTGCTGGGTTAAAAGTGACTTATTTCAGTAATCCAGCATTGGGTCAAACATGGACAAATAGAGCACCAAGATAGTCCAACCCAGAATTTTGGGTTGATGTGCCTGGAAACATTAGGCTCTTCATATCCAGCACAACAGTTCCCATAATAAGACTACATAATAGAATAAAATCTGTATCTTCACAGCATTATTAGTTCCATTTACAATTAATGAATCTTTCCTGGCAAAAAAGAGGCTGACAGTGCAACAATACATCCACTCAGGGCTGTACCATCGGCAACAGTTGCCGTGTTTAAAATGCAATATGTCGGCCATGCACAGAGAAACAGAACTAAAACAATTGGCAGTGATAAAAAGAAACAGAGTACCGATTAAAAAAAATAATTTAGAAAGGTTGCTGTCTCATGAGTAGCAGAGCAGAGGTGCTTCCACAGCATGTGGAAAAAGCATGTGAGGATGTCACACAATACCTTGGAAAATTAATAAATTATGGAAACCTGATCTGTTGCTAGCTCAGACTGCTTCTTTGCTCATCTACTGAGATATAAAGTTACTAACAAATAAAGGCACCTTTGTGTCTACTTTTTTCAGCAACCGTCTACTTCACCCTATTTTGGTGTCTTGCCGGAGATCCAAGGAAGTGTAGTGTAGTTTAGTTGGTAGCCGTTAGGATGTGAATAAAGATAAACAGCCCTCACAATGCAAGATACAGGGAAACCCAGTGCTGTTGTTTGTGTCAATGCTGGAAAGCAAGCTGCAGTAAAATCTTATACATTTCACATTTATCACCTTTAAATTCTGCAAAATGTAAAGAAAAGATCCTGAACTCAAACTAATATTTTTATAGATATATTTTGTGGCAATCATTAAGACAGCCAAAGCTGGTCTATATACTGTATGCACCGTCTATCAAAAGGTTCATCTGCTCACAGCTTCACAAACTGAGCTCATGCTGGACTAATCATGTGAGAGCAAACAGAGTACTGAACAGCTGGAGGAGGCTAGGATCACACAAACTAGCTGAGCCACGACAGATATAAAGACTTAAGGAAAAGTTTGGACTGAGATACAAATTCCTTGTCCCCCTCCTCCTCTCCGTCTCTCTCTTTACTGGCAGCTCAATTCTGAACATCCCACCATATTAAAACTAAGATACACTACCATTTTCAAATGTAATGCTTTGTTAAATGAATGGGGAAACCCCTTTAAATCTGGGTTACGCTACAAAAACATGCAAATGTCAAACACTCTGCAGGACACCGATTTGTTTTCAGCTGTCTCTCGGGGCGTTAAACAACAGTCAACGCCAAAGGCAAAAGAAGCAATTTTTTAGCAGGCACAGCAAGAGACAAAACAGCAGCGTAATTAACATGTCATCACTTCAAAAAGCCGATTCTTAACCTATAGCCAGATTATAATTTAGGATTACACTTTAAGCACATCTGATTACATTGAGATCTGCCTGTTTATTGAAGCTTGGTACAAATCAACATCCAAGCCAATTAATTGCTGGAAAACTAAAACACACAGAAACTGTAAACTCATTTGCGGAGTGGAGCATAGTTACAAAGGAGTTGGGCACCAGATGTTGCCTAGTTAATTGCCCCCAGAAAGCAGCACATTGAGTCAACTTGAAAATGTACATTAGTGTGTGCTGTTAGAGAGGTCTGTATACAGGCAAACACAATTTAATATATTATAAAGTCTACTGACTATTAGTTAGTTGAATGTAAACGGCATAATCTCGAGTGTCCACAGAAAAGATCACAGAGTAACTGATAAATTGTACCAGGTGTGTCTTGCTTACACACTCTCCCCCTTGCTGGGTAAACACACAAATGGAGCGGAAGTAGACTGTTTAGTTTCAGCGGCTCCCTCGACTGGTGTGTAATGCTTTAGAGTGAGCTGTACAGGTGAAGTGCTTAAGCTTTCACTGTGAACCTGTAATCGCGTAAGTGAAGAGAATGACAATAATGGAGAAGAAAAAAAAAAAACACTGAAAAATAAAAGGGCAGAAAATACAGTAAAACTAAAGATGCTGCTGCTGCAACTCCAAACAGCAGATAAAAGCAACACGACTAGAAATCATTTAGTGTGCTTCCATATGGCTCCCCGGCAGCTGGAAGCTACTCCTGATCATCCCGATAAGCCTCGTCAGAACAAACATGTAGCACGCGACAGAGCAGCAACCTAACTGTATAGGTTCCATTAACACAAAGTAGCACGTCTTCTACAATATACACAAACTGGATATTTTATCAGGTAGCTGATCGCTAATTTAACTATGTAGTCAGCTAATCACATGCAGGCAACCCAGTGGATTCAACTCATCTGGTCAACGCAAGCATCAGAATGGAAAAGAAATGGCGTGGTTGTTGAGCAGCAGTTCACTTGGTGAAAACGCCTTGTGGAGGTCAGAAATTTGACAATGACCAGACTGAGCACACTGAGGTCCTTTCAGCTAAAAAAAACCATGAAACTGAGGCTCATCAAACTGAAGAACAGATGAATGGAAAAACATTGCCACATGTGATCGATCTTGAATTCTGCTGCAACATTTGGATTGTAGGGTCAGAAAATGGCGTGAACAACATGACAGCATGGATCCATCCAGCCTTGTGTCAAAGGTTCAGGCTGGTTGTTATAATGTAACTGTGTGGAAGATATTTTCTTGGCATACTTTCGGCCTCTCAATACCAAATAAGCTTGTTTTAAATCTTTATCAGCAACCTTCACGACTAGAGTACTCAAACACATTTCTTGTCAATGAGTTCACTGTACTGAAATGGCTCTACAGTTATCAGATTCTCAAACTGTTGGAACGGCAGATTTCCATCATGGATGTAGAGCGGACAAATCTGCAGCGACTACGTGACGCTATCGTGTCAATATGGAATAAAATCTCTGAAGAACGTTTCCAGCACCTATGCCATACAGAATTAAGCAATATCTGAAGGCAAGACGGGGTTCAACACAGTACTAGCAAACTGTACCTTTTAAAGTGAATGAACTTCATATTCATCCTCTAGCATTGGTAGCAAAGTAAGAGCTTGCCACTGGGAAAATTTCATTGGTGTCCAATCTGTCTCAGTACAGCATAAAAGTCAAAACTGCAAAGCCTCCATTACAATTATCCAAATGTGTGATTTCACACTTTAATTTAATTTAATGAAAAGCCAAATCACACATTTTCAGCTACTTCTCTTTCACCCGTAAGTGGTGTTGTGTACCATCTGTAATGACTTCTTCCCCCCCTCCTCCCAATCTATCCAGCCACAGTCCAGACATGTGATTTAAAAGCTTTTCTGTCACTATATGTATGCACCACATCTCCATTAACAGCCTCTTACCTTATTGCTCAGGAAAATGCAGCCCTGGATATCTGCTGATCTTCACAGCTGAAAAACAGAAAGGAGGATATTTATGAGCCACATTTGCAGAATGCAAAAATATAGACTTGCATACAAAAGATAATTACAAATGTTAATCTATACAGTGATTAAAGCAATGGATTCACAGCAGGAGTATTCATGCTCCACTGAAACAAAATACCTAGGCCTATACTTTTAGATATGTGTAACAGGCTATGACATATTTAACAGCAAATAAGGATAAAATACACTCCAGGCAAAGCATAATTAGGATATGCACAATAATTACTTTCTTGCTGTTAAGAACAAAGAGGAAAATGCATTCAGTTAACTAAACAGATGCAAATAAGTCAATAAAAAAAAAAAGCAGAACAGTTTAACTAAAATATTTTAAATGTCAAAAAAATTACTAGTTACAACTATGTAGCACGCTTATTACACAGCAGTCAGACATTTTGACTAAATGATATTTAACCAACAACATTGTGATTTAAAATTACCTACTTCATGTGAAGACTGCACTTTACAGGTATATCAGGCTAAAACATTTGAGGTTTGTTTATTAAGAAAATGAAAAAAACAATGTCCAAGGATACAAAGGTTTTACAAACAATCTACCACAAAAAAAGACAGCAAATTTAATCTGTGCTATAGCTGTATATGCAGTATTTTTCTACAGCTACAGTTTCCAAATGTTCAGGGCTGATCAATACAGCAAGACAGCCAGAACATTTCACAACAGGCAGCATGGATTATTACACCTGCCCAGGCAGTACAATATCATGCCCACAGCCAGAGTTAATGACAACTGGCTGCAGTGGCTCCAGACAGGGAGGAGGACTGATGGGTGGACAAGTGAGAGACACTCTTAAGGTGGATCATCGAAGGGTAAACCAGCACGCTGCAGGCACACTGTCATGCCTGTCCTCTCTCCCACGGGAGGCTCTGCACACACTGCGGTAACACCATCACTTGCATTACTGCACAGTCGTCTTGAGTGTGAGAATGCGACATCCTTGTAATCCTATACCCCAATGAAGTTATTCGTTTTCACATACAGCAAAATGTGAAAAGATAAAGTACGTTTCACAGGAAGCCAGAACTATCCGTCAATTAATACATCCAAGCGGTACAAACAGTGTGATATTAGGAAAGGCAACTCCAAAGGGCTGCATACTGATGAAAGCAAACACTGGCCAGTGCTGCTAATGATTCTGATTACCTGCTTAATCATCAGACTCCACTGGAGCTTGGCTTTTGCTCAGGCAATCTGCCCCCTGAGTATTATTGACTCGCTGACATTGGCAGTGAGTTGAAGAAGGGTTTAGGTTTCTTACTGGGAGGCAACTGATTCACACAATGACTCACTTCTCCAGTCCCACTAAGGAGGTAAGAAATCAAACTTTATGATATCAAATGTTCATTAAAAGAATGAAACAAAGAGGAAAAAAGGCCAGGAAAGCAGCATGCACCCACACACTCTTGTTTTGATGACTTTTCTTTTTTTAAATTTAGCTCCTTCTGCCTTGACAGAAACAATTAAACTTTTTGCTACTTGACTTCCAACAGCTTGAGAGATTCCAGTATGCTAGTGGCTAAAGTAGCCTATATTAAATACTAATAGCATATAAACCACTAGTTTCAAGCATGCCTGTAAAGCAGAACATACACTCAACTAATAGGTTAATTTACTAGAATTTTTATTTATTTTTTTTTATTTTTTTTTTATTTTTTGGGGGGGGTTAAATCCCTGTTGGCAAGTTAGTCAGTTTAATTTTATTTCTATAGCACCACATGACAACAACAATTGCCTCAAGGTGTTTACAGAGTTTCCAGCGCCATTAGCTGCTACTTGCATACAAGCTGATAGCCTTAAGCAGCGGTAGAAATCTACTTTCAACTGAAAAGCTAGGTGCCACAAACCACTTTAGTTTTTGGGTTATTATGCTAATAGTAGCTAAAGTAGCCTACATCAGCATCTACTAGCATATAAACTGATAGCCTCAAGGACAGAAACACGCTTTCAACAATAACAAGCTATTTTTCCCCCAACGATTTTCAGTGTGTTATGCTAGCAGAATTAGCCACTAGTTATAGCTGATAGCCTCAAGCAGAGATGAATGTCACCACTGTACACAGACAGGCTATTTGCATGTTCTTTTGCCTTAACAAAATCTGGGAACACTGTCAACCCCACTGCATCTTTTCCTAGTAGTGGCTAATGTAGCCTACTGCTATTAGCATACTAGCTCCAAGATGCATCAGATGTGAGTAATTTTCTAGTTGTCACTACATGTGCAGCATCATTTCAAAGAATCACACTGCTCAGTTTAGCAAAGTAGCAGGAGAAGTAACAGTGTCTTACTTTAACATTCAAATTACAGTTTTGCATAAAATGGTACACTGTTCCCCAATGTTTACAGTGTTGGGAAGGTTACTTTTAAAATGTATTCCATTACAGAATACAGAATACATGCCCAAAAATGTATTCTGTAACGTA